TCAACCGCGTGAAGGATGGTGACCCAACGGAGCGCTTGATGGCTCTGCGACAGGAAGGAACGGTGGCAGAATTTCGCAACCGTTTTGAGGCTTTAGCAGCATCAATGAGAGGAATACCGGAACCCATTTTCCGGGGAGCTTTCCTCAACGGCCTCCGAGAGGACGTGCGGGCTGAGGTCAAATACTGCGGCCTATTAACTTACAGGAAGTTATGGATTTGGCCCAGCAGATTGAAGAGAGGAACGATGCAGTCGACCGGTTGAGGAAAGGTAAACTGGGCCGAGGATGGCAAAATGAGGGCTTGGGGAGAGAGATGGGCCCAAGCGAGCAGCCCAATACGCAACTAGGTCATTCTGGAAGCTCCCTTCAGTCCACTCCAGGTAAAGAGTCTAACTCATCTCCACGGTCTCGTTTTTGGTCTACACTGCAGTCAGGGCTGTCCGAAGGAGGGGCTGGGTTCAAATGGATGACGGACGAGGAGTACTAGCACCGACGAGCCAAGGGGCTCTGCTACCGGTGCGACGAGAAGTTTAGCCTTGGTCACCGGTGTAAGAACCGGCAGTTACAGGTGCTTTTGGTGTCGGATGGAGTTGGAGAAGATGATGAAGACACAGAGGAGACAGAGGAAGCTCCAGCCGATGAGATAGGGGGCATGGCTGGACTTTCCCTCAACGCGCTGATGGGAATTGCCTCTTCTGATACTATGAAACTAAAAGGGACCCTCGGAGATCGCGAGGTACTTATCTTAATCGAAAGCGGGGCCTCGCACAATTTTCTCTCATTGAGGGTCGTGCAGAAGATGCGAATTCCCTTGTCTACCACAGGTAGTTATGGCATCTAGGTAGGGAACGGAACTTGTTTCAGGCAGAAGGGGTTGTGTAAGGGTGTGGAACTGGAAATCCAGGGCTATCGCCTGTGTGGGGATTTTGTACCCTTCGAATTGGGTTGTGCCAAAGTGGTGCTTGGCGTTTCCTGGCTGTGAACATTGGGGGAAATTAGGGCTAATTGGCGGGAATTCACCTTGAAATTCAGGGCGGCTGAGGGGTGGATTTGCTTGAAGGGGGATCCTACACTACGATGGGAACCGGTGAGTTTTCGTGCCCTCACTCGAAAATTCCAGGGTGAGGTGATGGGGGCTTTGCTTGAAATCTGTGTTCTTGAGGGCAAGGTAGGGGGTGGGCAGGACATGCTGGAACCCGCCATCTTCCAAGGGGTTTTAGCTCAGTTTTCAGACGTGTTTGCGACACCAGAAGGACTACTGCCGAGTCGCGCTCGAGACCACCAGATTGTCCTCAAGACCGGGGCTGAACCACCCAATATCAGGCCTTACTGATACCCCCAAGTGCAAAAAAATGAGATTGAGAAATTGGTGTCAAAAATGTTGGCTTCAGGGATCATTAGGCCAAGCAACAGCCCCTTCTCCAGCCCGGTATTATTGGTCAAAAAGAAGGATGGAAGCTGGCGCTTCTGTGTCGATTATCGCGCCCTCAATCAGCTTACTGTGCCAAACAAATTTCCGATTCCGGTCATCGACGAATTATTGGACGAGTTGCACGGGGCCGTTGTGTTTTCAAAGTTGGATTTGCGGGCAGGTTACAATCAAATACGAATTAGGGAATTCGACGTGGAGAAGACGGCATTCCGAATGCACGAAGGACACTGAATTCTTGGTCATGCCGTTTGGTTTGACCAACGCTCCAGCAACGTTTCAGGCGTTTATGAACAAGGTATTTCAACCTTATTTGCGCCAATTCGTTTTAGTATTCTTCGACGATGTTTTAATTTATAGTCGAACATGGGAAGAACACAAAGAGCACCTCGCGGTAGTCCTAGGCGTTCTGAGGAGGGAGCAGCTATTCGCAAATCGGAAGAAATGCGTTTTTGGGCAGCACCAGTTGGAGTACTTGGGGCATGTGATCTCGGCAGCAGGGGTGGCCGCTGATCCAGCCAAGGTGGAGGCCATTCTATCTTGGCCCACACCCAAGAACGTACGGGGAGTTAGGGGATTCTTAGGATTGGCTTGTTATTACCGGCGTTTCGTTCAGAATTTTGGACGGCTGGCAAAGCCCATGACCGACTTGCTCAAACGGGGCGAATTCTGGTGGACCCTAGAGGCGGGGGCTGCCTTCGAAGCGCTAAAGCTGGCTATGACTACTCTCCCAGTCCTTGCTATACCGGATTTCTCCAAGCAGTTTGTGGTAGAATTCTGGCTCGGGAATTGGGGTAGTGTTAATGCAGAGGGGTAGGCCCATTGCATTTTTCAGCAAGGCGCTCTCAAACACTTCTAGGCTCCGGTCCGTCTATGAACGGGAACTCATGGCGGTCGTGTTGGCTGTCCAAAAGTGGCGCCATTACCTCCTTGGCGGGCACTTTGTGGTACGCACCGACCAGCAGAGCCTCCGGTTCCTCATGGACCAGCGGCTGTTACCTCTGGAGCACCTCCGCTGGGTTATTCAGCTCTTTGGGTATGACTTCGAGCTGGAATACAAGCAAGGGGCGTCGAATCGTGTGGCTGACGCACTTTCTAGATGCGGGGCGGACACCGGGGTGGAGTTAGCGGCCATCTCCATTCCGCAGCTAGTTAATTGGGCTGAGATTAGACGGGAACAGCAGCAAGACGACAAATGCGTTGCTTTGTTACAAAAACTCGCTAATGGCGACGAGTTGGCCACAGGTTGGTCCTTGCATCAGGACTTGCTGTGTTACCAAGGCAGAGTAGTCCTTCCTATGCAATCTCCGTGGATACAACTCATGTTGCACGAATTTCATGACTCGGCTTTAGGGGGTCATTCAGGTTTTTGAGCACTTATAAACGAGTGGCGCATAACCTGTTCTGGCGGGGAATGAAGGAAGATATACGTCAGTATGTTGCTCAATGTTCCATTTGCCAACATTCGAAGTATGAGGCAATGACACCCGTAGGATTGCTCCAACTGTTGCCGATACCGGAGAGGGGGGGGGAAGATATCTCCATGGACTTCATAGGGGGGTTACCACAGTCGCAAGGAATTGATACGATTTTAGTGGTTGTGGACCGGTTGTCTAAGTACGCTCATTTCCTGCCACTCTCTCACCCGTTCACAGCCAAGAAAGTGGCTGAATTGTTTGTTCGTGAAATAGTCCAGCTCCACGGAATTCCGGGCTCCATCATCACCGATCGAGACCCCCTCTTCATGAGCTTCTTTTGGCGCGAGTTATTTCGTATGCAGGGAACCAAGCTGAACCGTAGTTCGGCGTACCACCCTGAATTTCGGCGTATCACCCCGAATCTGACGGCCAGACCGAGGTTGTGAACAGGTGTTTGGAAGTGTACCTCTGCTGTTTCGCGAGTGATCAGCCACGCTTGTGGCTCCGCTACTTACCATGGGCAGAATTATGGTTCAACACCAACTATAATGCGTCCACACGGCATTCCCCCTTCTAAGTGTTGTATGGCCGCGATCCTCCCACTGTTCACCACTTCCAGGACTCCCCTTCGGCAGTGGAAGATGTCAACCTCCAGCTGCAGCAAAGGAATGAGTTCCTCGATATTCTCAGGGGCAATCTCGTGCTTGCACAGCAGCGCATAAAGAAGTTCGCGGATGCTCACCGTCGGAACTTTCCTTTTCGCCTGGTGACCATGTTCTGCTCAAACTCCGCCCCTATCGCCTCAAGTCCCTGGCCCGTCAACCCAACGAAAAGTTGGCTCCACGATTTTATGGACCATTTGAAGTTTTGGAGAAGATCGGAGAAGTGGCCTATCGTCTCAAGCTTCCTGCAGACGCGCGGATTCATTCTGTTTTCCATGTCTCCCAACTGAAACCTTTTAAGGGGGATGCACTCCAGCACCAACCACTTCCCCTGCAGCTCTCGGATGAGTTGAAGTTGCAAGTCGAGCCTTCCGAGGTCCTTCGTGGCAGGTGGACTTCTGTTGGTGGGAAACGGGTCGCTGAAGTGCTGGTTCAATGGAAGGACTTTCCGGATTGGGAGGCCACCTGGGAGCTTCTGGAGGTGTTTCAGGCCTAATTTCCTCATTACAACCTTGGGGACAAGGTTGTCTTCAAAGGGGGGAGTATTGTCAGGCCTCCGGTGAGGAAGGTCTACACCAGGAGGACCAAAGGTGGACTGGTGGGAGACTCAGGCCCAAATGGAACGGAAGAAAGGGGTTTGGGTGTCAAGACAGGCCCATCTGGGAATTCGGGTCTGGCTGAGGGAGGGGAAGTTGACGTGGGAAGTTAGTTAGAGAATCTGGAAGGTATTTGAAGGGAGGAACGAGTGCTGTGAGGGGGCATCGTTTTGGCTGGAGCTGGCTGTTAGGAGGTTGTGGGATTCCTCGAAAATCCCTCTCTATCCCTTTCATATTACTGTAATTTCCATTTCCGTTTGTATTGTTGAGCTTCAAGTCAAGCCCATTTCTTTATTCCGGTGACTAGTTTTAATAAAAACACCATTCAAAGGTTTTCCTTCCATGCATAACAGTAAACTCTAGTTGTTAAGGCCAGGATTCTATCATTGTACTTCCATGATTTCAACTACCAAATCGGGACAATTACCTTTATCGATTATCTGATTGATTCGAATCGTGGCGGTTGTTGCAGCATATCTTTTCTTGAGATGACGGGATTTGATTTAGATTTGACCGGGCTGCTCTCTCGACGTCGTGAACTTCACGGCTTAGGCGGAGTTCTCGACGCATATCCTCCTCCTGCATGAACTCTCGTCATTTTGGGGGCATACTTCGTATGACCATTTCCTCGACGTCAGCGACCAACTTTCGACTGAGAATGTCTCGGCGCTTGGCAGTCAAAGGAACGGTCGATTGCTCGACCGTGGCGCAACACAAGGCATTTATGATATTAGTCCTTTAAGTTTTGATGGGCGAGTTTCATGTTTGTTTTTTAGTTGAGTTGCAATTGGGTTAGTGGGTTTCTGGGTTGTGTTTCTTTGGATTGGTGATTGTAGCCTTTTGATTTGTGAATCGTTCTCATCTTAAGTTGTTCGATATTTTGTGTCAATTACAGGGTGGAGCCAATGCTGGTCATACAATCTACAATTCGGAGGGAAAGAAGTTTGCCCTTCACCTTGTTCCTTCTGGCATTTTGAATATGGAGACTCTGTGTGTTATTGGAAATGGAGTTGTGGTTCACCTTCCAGGGTTTTTCAAAGAGATTGATGGGCTTGAATCGAATGGTGTCTCCTGCGAGGGAAGGATATTGGTTTCCGATCGTGCTCACTTGCTGTTCGATTTCCATCAAGAAGTGGATGGGCTTAGAGAGGCGGAGCTTGCCAAGTCTTTCATTGGCACTACAAAGAGAGGAATTGGACCTTGTTACTCTAGCAAGGTGATTAGGAATGGCATTAGAGTAAGTGACCTAAGGCACATGGATACTTTTCCTCAGAAGCTTGATCTTTTGTTATCGGATGCTGCTGCAAGATTCGGAGATTTTAACTATACCCCAGAAATGCTCAGGGATGAGGTCGAAAAGTACAAGAGGTTTGCTGAGAGGTTGGAACCTTTCATTGTTGATGCCGTGCTTGTCATGAATGAAGCCATTTCACAGAAGAAGAAGATTTTGGTTGAAGGTGGTCAGGCGACGATGTTGGATATTGACTTTGGAACATACCCGTTTGTAACTTCTTCTAGTCCATCTGCTGGTGGCATTTGCACCGGTCTTGGAATTGCGCCAAGAGTTGTTGGTGACCTGATTGGAGTGGTGAGTTCATAATTTGGAGTTGTTACACTTTCTTTTCTTGATAGTTTGATAATTTTATGTTTTTCTTACCCATGAAACACCTATGAATCTAACTATTTTTTCACTGAAAGACAATATTTTTAACACGCTTCTATGTTTTATTTGGTGATTTAACTTTGTAATTGTTTAGCTACATATGTTTTGTAACAACTGACAAGCGTATGCTGGTTTTCATTAATTCTTGAATGTATTTGAGGAAACCATGATCTAAGCAGAGGCAAATTTAGTGAAACTATTTTTGACATGCTTACTTCAAGTTCTTAATTGACGCTCTCCTTGGCAGGTAAAAGCATACACCACAAGAGTTGGGTCTGGTCCGTTCCCTACAGAAATCTTGGGTCAAGGGGGTGACCTTCTTAGGTTTGCTGGGCAGGAGTTTGGCACAACTACTGGTCGTCCACGCCGTTGTGGTTGGCTTGATATAGTTGCACTCAAGTACTGCTGTCAGATTAATGGCTTTTCTTCTCTTAATCTCACCAAACTAGATGTTTTATCTGATCTTCCTGAGATTCAATTGGGGGTCGCTTATAAACATGCTAATGGTACACCAATCAAATCATTCCCGGCGGACCTTCGTCTTCTCGAGCAATTGAAGGTAAGTCTTACTTGGCATTGTACTGTTAGTGTTCACTTAATAAGTGGAAAAGCTATATATAAATTAAACACTGCTTCAGTAGTCCTTTTTCATATACTACAATGGAAGTTCTAACTGCATAAGAGGCAATGTTTTTGTCCACTCGGCTTTTCTTGATTCCTTTCTTCCTTGTATATTTGTAGGTGGAATATGAAGTATTGCCCGGCTGGAATTCCGATATATCTTCCGTCAGAAACTACTCCGACCTTCCAAAGGCGGCGCGTCAATACGTGGAGAGGATAGAAGAGCTTGTCGGTGTACCAATTCATTACATTGGTGTTGGGCCCGGACGTGATGCCCTCATATTTAAATAACTTTAGTATGATTTTCGGATTTATATCTTAGATGACATTTGTTCCTGTTAGAGGATCTGACGGTGGGAGAATTTTTATCCTCTGAAGTTGGGGGATGTTTTGGGTACTAAGATTACCTTGTAGGTCCAGAAACAAGTATTGTATTCTCCTTCTAGGGAGACAAACTTTGGAGCTTTGCTGTGTTGGAAGCCTTTTGTAGGCTTTTGATTCAGTGATATTACTTATTGCAGTGCTTGGCAATAATATTATATTAGCTTTGAGGCCAATTCTGCTACGCTACCACCTTCTTCTCTCTCTAGTGCCAAAAAACAAATTTACCACTTTATAAAATGGTTGAAGTATTACTCTTTCGTTTCTTGTATTTTGATACCAACTTTTGTTATCGTGTAGACAAACTCTTGAGAAATGGAAATTAGACATTAGACTTGAATCAATTTGTTATAAATTTTAGTAGTGTTGGGACACAAATTCTAATTTCAATTCTTCATATCAATTTTGAGTTGTCATTTTTCATCAACAAATGTTATATTTTTCTATTAATTAATGCGATAATCTTTTAAATAGTTATCAGTAAAAGAATACAACTCAAATTGTTATAAAAAAATTAGAATTAAAATCGATAATAAAAGAATGACAACTCAAATGATATAAAAAGTTTAGAATTAAAATTAGTGATTGTATATTTAAGCCTCAGCATATGCTTAAGTCGAAAGAGAGAGACCTGGGGATTCTTGCCACGTTTTCTTGATAGGAAACCAAAAGATTCATTTCCCAATAAGTGTCATTTTCGTCATATGATCATGACAGTAAGGAATAATAATAAAGTTTTTGGTTTCGTACTGGTCCAATACTCAACAAATTAAGTCAGTTTCGGGCCATGAGTATTAAAAAAAATGGAGAAACTTAGAAAACTCACCCGGGCTAAATTTTTACATTCTTCTCTTATATTAATATCATTTTAACTAATATATCACTTCATTAAAAAGATATTAATCAAAAATAATAAATAAAAATATAAACTTACGTGATCTAAAAGATATTTGTCTACCTTTTTTGTGAAAATATCTTGTAAATTAGGTCTAGTACTATGTTAAAGTTTATAATTCAACCGTACCATTTAAATTTTAAATTTGTTTATTTTACCGATTTGAGTTTTATTACAGTAAAATGTTCTCAAAAACAGTCACATCTAACTTTTTTACTATAATAAAAAATTCTCACATAAAATCACATCTCAATTCAAAATAAAAATTAAAATCAGCGAACAAAACGAACTCTTTATATGTCAATTATGCTAAAAGCTTTCTGACCAAAAGTGGAATACTCGAATACAACTCTCCAAAATGATATTTCTCTGATTCACTTTAGAACTTTGTCAATGGAGCACCACACAAGTACAACCTACTATACTCGTTATTTTTGACTGGTCTGAGTCACAATCACTATCTAAGTACAGTAATCCTTTCAATAAGATTTGCAAACATGATAACACAATTCTTAGAATAAAAAAAAGTTATTATACTTGAATATTATGGGGAAATAAATTTTTAATTTACAAAATAACTTTAGAACGATCGACAAAATAACTTTTTAAATTACTTGATGTAGGCAGCTCATTGTGAATATAAAAGAAAATAAAATATCAACTAGAAAAGAAAATATGAGAATTCCTCAACCCGTATAATATTTCAAATAAATAACATATTTACTATGATTGTTAATAAATAACATTTTCGATTCTGAAAGAAGGTTTATAAGAGTTTATTAACTAAAAGTTTTGTAAAATATAATATAAATACATAAATTACTAAAGACTGATGAACAATATGTATAATTTTGAGGCTTACGGGAGAAAATCCAATAAATTCCATATTTATCATATCCTAAGACAAATACAAAATTTATTCGATAAATTCTGAATTTATATTACCATTTATTAAATTTTTCAGATTTATTTTTGGGTATAGAGGCAAATGACTTTTTTTAAAAGATTTTTTAATAAATGACCAAAGCTTTTTTGGGTATAGAGGCAAATGACTTTTTTTTAAAAGATTTTTTAATAAATGACCAAAGTTTTATAGAATTAGCAAAATGATTGTTTTTTCCACCTCAGTAGTCATTAACTTATTAACCTAATAGTTAATACACTATTGATTAGTTTATCACTAATTGACTAATTAGTAATTAATCAAGGGACTGTGTCCGGTAAGCCGTCCTACCAATATGATCAGTTTTTTTACTATTGAATCTGGTTAAATTAAATGAGATTGAAAAAATATGCAAAACACAGTGACAGATCCAATAATTGAATTCAGTAGGGGCACACGTTAAGACATTCCCATTCAAAAAAAGTTCACAAGATTCTACATTATATTGCATACTTTATAGGGCAATAATTGATCATTGCAAAAGAAAAGAAACATGAGAGAAGAAAAATAAATATAAATTAAGAGACTCAAAGAGCCAGTCTACATGTAAAAAAATGAAAAAGAAAATGAAAAAAAAGAATACTAAACGTCAAGGAAAAGAGTACTAGTACTAACAAAATCCAGTTTAAAAGAAGAAATAATGACAATAAATAAAGTAATAGGAAAAAATTATAGTGTTTTATAAAATTAAAGTGACATTTAAAGAGAAAAAAAGAAAAGAAAAGAACAAGTCTAATGCATCAATATTGAAGCCCAAAACAAAAAATAATGAGAAAATAAGAAAAACTTATATGTTGATTGCTAAAATTACGGGGCACACTTGAATAATACATAAAACTCAGTATGTAACTAGATACATTATTTTTTATTTTTTATTTTCTCAGGGGGCAAGTGACCCCACTGCCCCCCTTGAATATGTTCATGACATAACATATAATTTTTAATACAGATCTAACGGCTAAAAATTGCTTAAAAATAAAAGTACTAATAGTTTCATTTTTCTGGTCCTACGAGAGAAACTCTCATTAATCAATTTCAATCAATAATTACAAGTTTACCAATACTAAATCAATAGTAAATTAATTATGAAACAATAAATCATTGATTTACCATGAGACCGTCACTGATTGACTATAGTAGAAAATGACAATTTTTCTAAAATAAAAAAAGTTCAACTATTTATTTAAAAAATAAAACTTTCAGTCATTTGTTAAAAGGAAGATTCTCCGTTACGCCTAACGTATCGATAAATTAAGTTTTTTTAACCATTAAATCTACGTAATTTTATACAGATTCAAAGAAAAGAAAACTTAGCTTACCAGTAAATTAGCGTGCCAGAAAAAAATTTCTAAAAAGTATAGTAAAAAAACAGCCAGTTAGTAAATTTTGCCTTCATTTTTGTTCTATAAACAAATCATGATAATTACCTTTTTTTTCCCAAAATGAGAGAAAAACAAAAATCCATGAGAAAAGGTGATTTTGGCAAAGACATGTTTACAATGTACAAAAGGTCCTCAAAAATCTCTCAATTGGTATGGAAGTAGTGGAGAAACTGCTGACGAAACACCGCAACGTCCCAAAGCGCTCATCAATTTATACTTTAAAACTTCTCCAACATTTCTCTCTCCTCACCACGGCACTCTCTGTAGGGTGTAATTCGGCCAGATAGGCTCGGGTTGGGCCGAAAAATTGTTGGAAACCGAATCGAATTCGGATGCGGAAGCGTGGGGGGAAGGGATCGTGTATAACAAAAATTTTCATAAAACCTTTGAGATACTCTATAGATTATATTAATTTATGCACAAATAAATTAATCTCATTAATTCATTTATTAAGAACTCAATTAGGAAAAATACCTAGAGGCCGACTCGATTGATAACTTGAGTTCTTTGACCTCAAACAATCCTTGCTCCAAAGCTTTGTGTTTAGAAAACCAATGTCTTCCACGTCAATTCCTAGAATTCACAAAGACGTGTGTGTAGGCACACATGAGACAAAACGGGTTACAATAAACACTCGAATTTCCACAAACACCAACGCATGCACGATGTAGAATTTTTGGAGAAAAATTTTTCCTTCTCACTCTTAGAGAATTTCGGCCACCTCAAAATTAGGGCAAAATTCGTTTTTAAGAATTGTATCAAAAATTGTGTCTCAAAAAATTGTATCCACAATTTTCTACTATTCTCTTATT